AGAGAAAATCGTCGGGCGCGGCGGCGGCGGCGGACGAGGGCGGCCTCAAGAAGTGCAAACTCGGCAGGTAGCGGCCCGGCCGCCGCGGCTGCTTTGGCCCCGCGCGGCCCGGCGAGAGCGGGGCGGACGTTACGGAACCCGGCCCGAGGGCAGCCCCCGGGGCCGCCGCTGTCCGCCCGAGCCCCGGCTGCCCCCTCCCGCCGCCCCCTGCCCTCCCTGTGCGGCTGCCGGGGCCCCGTGCCGGCGCCGCGGTGCCCGACAGCCGCGTTCGGAGCCGCAGGGCGGTAGCGCGGCGGGGCGCGGGCAGTGCGGGCCTCGCGGCCGCCGCAGCAGCAGCGCCGGGGGCGGCGGGGCCCTCGTGGCCGGGCCCTGGCGGGGCCCCGCGCAGCCCGGCCGGGCCGTAGCTCCGCAGCCCCTCGCGCTTCCATCCCGCCCTGCAGCCGCCTCGTGCGGTGCCGGGGGGCCCTTGATCTCCGCCTAAACTGGCCGTGGCCTCTTAATACCCGTTCTTGTGCCCGCGTTGTCCTTTATATGCCTTATGTGGCACTTCTCCCCATACGCCTGCTTCACAGTRGGTATATCATAAGTGAGAACTCACTGGGCTTCCAGTGTTCCTGCTTGTCATAACCCTTCTCTGCAGCTGTTCTAGTTTCACTTCGTCTTTCTTGACCGCTGGATGCCAAAATTCAGTCATCTTAATTTCTTCTGTCTTTAAAAAAATATTTTTGAAAGGTCTATTTGAAAAGAAAAGGCTCWACAGGAAACTAGAAGTCATTGGGAAAAAACTAACATTTTGTGATTAGAAACTATGAACTTCTATTTATGCCATAGTTTTTTCCCATGATTAAGAATACTCTTATTTCTTAATAAGATGAATGATTACAGCCTTTAAACAAGATAAAAACGGCAAACAACATACTGCAGGGCTGTGCTGGTTCTTGAGACTTGTGACTTCAGTGTTAATTTAATAGATGTTTTGTTGTTATACATGTACCTTTTMAGTGTTCATCACTTAATGTTTCACCGGGACAAGTGTGGCTTTCCCTACTTTAAATGAACCTTAAAGCCACGCATTGCATAATTTGTTCAGAATCCCTCAGAACCRAACTGTTCTTTTCCCCTTCTACATTTTCATTTTGGAACTGCCATGTCGGATAATTGTATAAATGCGTAATTGTAAATCCTCTCACAGGGTCAACTTTCACCTCGTTCTTGGAAATAATCTTAGCATGTCCTAAAAATGTCATTTGTGCTTGAGGAATGTGTATTGTGAAGGGCTAGATTTCTCTACCCTTGTAGGGAATTGCACATTTTGTACAAAGACCATCCATCCCTAAATATCTACAGCAGGTAGAGATGTAGCTGAGCACTTAATGTAAATGTATTGATTGAGTTTTCGTCCAAAATTGGATGCTTAAGTATAAATAGCCTGGCTTTTAAATATGTCAAACTCTGCAGCTTCTGTTGACCTAAATGGAATTCATGCATGTTCAGCACTCTGGAAGATCAGGCTGCTTATTAGACACCTAACAAATGCGTGTAAATATAAAATGTAAGTAGATAAGCAGGCACTTTAATTACTGTGTAGCAATATTTTGACCATCTGTCTATGTATTTTTTAATAACTACAAGATGAGAATACTTTTACATTTCAAAAAAAGTAGTAGTAGTTCTAATAAATTAGATCATGAAAAGGTTGCATTCSAAACTAATTTTTATTACACAAATAAGTGTTGAAGTATTATGACAAGCAGTTGCACCCTCATAATTTCAGCTTCATTGTTTGTGTGTTGGCACTTTACATAGAGTTACAATCCAAATGGTTTATTACTAGTTCAAACTAAATTATCTTAGTTCCCATTTTTCATATGCAAAATAACACTTTGATTATCCTTGTGTTTCTACAAGCTATTGCAGATCGCAAGCCTCTGGTAAAGTAATAACTGGAGAGGAACATTTTTCAAGCAAGAAGTGCCTAGCTTGGTTTTACGAATATGCAGGTAATATGTAATGTACTCATTTAAAATTACATGTCTTTGTTTTTGTTTTCAAAATCAATCATTATTTGCATTTGACTTTTTCGTATTGTTGCAGACATAATAAATACATCTATATTCACATCAGAATAACATGCTGTAGAATTTTTGTAGCTTTTACTGCTGACTTCTATTTTGTTTGTTTATTTTTTCACTTTGTGCTTTATGATTTTTCCATGCTTTCTTTAAAATAACAAGCAATGTTTGGACAAGATGAAGAGTTAGTGTTTGAACAAGATGAAGTTATGCTTTTTTTTGAAAAAAAACACCAATAAATTGGTAGATAGAAAGATTTTATAGTGGTTTGTTAACTCAATCTAAATATATTTTGTTTATAGTAAAACTGGAATGATAATGAATTAATTCATGATTCAAGCACCTTTTTTTTCCCTCCTTCAAAATGCTAGTAGATACTTGCACTATTTTGCTATATGAGAATCTCTCCCAACTTTTTTTGATATCCTACATATCAATGTTTCATTCAAAAGTGTTGTAAGTAGTGTCTTTTAAATAAATGACAGTTGCTRCTGAAGTAATGGATAGCATCAGTAAACACCCAGTGTTTTATAGAATTTATCGAGCAGCTGCTTGCTTGTTTGTATACAAGTAGTAGAATTTGCCAAAAAAAAAAGTTAATATGTTTGTTCAGATAATAGAGCTTATACCTTTTAGGCAGATSATCTTTATCCATTGAAATCCAAAATACATGGAAATAGCACATCAACAGGCATTCTAATAATATATGATGGCCCAGTAGGAGTCATTTTTGGAGTGGGTTTTAGTCTGAAGACAGGGAATTGGTGTCCTTGAGGCTAAGGAGAAATTCACAGTTTGGTGGATGAACTGCAGAATGTCTGTGTAAGCTCTTTAGATATTATAGTTGTTCTGTTTTTTGGAGGATATACTTGTACTAAAATGGAGAAGCAACAGCATAATGCTAACTATTGTGCATCTAATCAAGTTATCTCCAATTTAGTCGTAAGCCTTTTTCTTTTYGTATGTGTTTAATGTGCTTTGACAGTTGGGGGATTTTTCTTTATAATGCAAAATAATTGGGAAAATATTAATATAGATAATATATTTGAAAATTTAACATTTGCTATTTTAGTACTAATTCACAATCTTAACATTTAAAGATCCCGGTAGCACTATCACAGGTAGAATTTTTTGTTGTAGCCAATTAAAAAAAAAAAAGAAAAAACTCTTTGAAAGGCATTATGCATATAGTAACTTAAGAGATACCTAAGTCATTTTAAAGCTGATTGACTGCCACAGTTAATGTAATTTAGCTATGACAATATAATATTCACTGCAGGTTTATTATGATTCAGTTGAGCAAATTAACTTCATATGCTTTTGTGAGGACTGCTCATAGCATGAAGGTTTGTTTTTAATTTTAATTTTGCTTTTAGTTCATAGCACTCTTTCATATGTAGTACAGATGCTTTCATATTGCCATTGCTATGTTGGTTGCATTTTAGCAGAAACACTGCTCAAAACTTTAGTTCAATGGGGTTACTTTTAAAGACAGCTAATACAATTTTTTTTTTACTTTAATGCTTGCATGTAACTCTTGCACAGAATCCATGTATTACTTGCATTTTGATCTGCTTCCTTTTTGGTTTTGAAGGTCCTGATGAAGTTGTGGGGCCAGAAGGAATGGAAAAGTTCTGTGAAGACATTGGTGTCGAGCCTGAAAATGTAGGTTTCTTGCGGGATATCATTTTAGAGGGATTATTGGATTAKTCTTAGTTTCCTATAAGACTCTAACTTCAATAAGCAAATAATATTTTCCTGCCTATCTGAGTTTTTGCAAGATTTTAGCTGAATATATCATTTATGTTTTTCTTACAGCATAGTGATACTACACCTTTAGAAACTTAAGAGGAAAATTGCACAGTTAAATTAGACTTCTATAACAAAGTGATATGAAAGTTGATTTCTAGAAGTTAATATAAAAATATTATACTGACTTTTTTTCCTCCTTCCCTCTTCATCTTCCTCCCCACCCCTCTCACACCTTTTTTTTCCATAGATTATTATGTTAGTTTTAGCCTGGAAGCTAGAGGCTGAAAGCATGGGATTTTTTACCAAGGAAGAATGGTTAAAGGGGATGACCTCATTACAGTAAGTGTGTTTTTCATATATAATGAAAGGTTCAAATTTGTACCTTAATTATTTTTGCCCACCTTTGCTTGTGGATTGGTAAAAAGATCCAGAAGCTMTTGCTTGTAAGTGTGGTCTCGGTCACTAACTGGAAGTAGCTCCTGCTTTTGATCAGGTTGTTAATGTGATGGATTTGCTAAATGGTTAACCCAAATAAATCGATTTTACAGATTGTCTTCTGACTAAATATGTTTTAAAATGTGCCTTCAGTAAGTGAATTCAAATAAGTAGGGCTGTAGATATCTGCAAGCATGTGTTAGAATTAGTATTCTATARTGTGATAACTTTGTTATTTTATAGATGAATATTGACACCTCTTATTGCTATTATTTATTAGATACTGGGTAGTAGCAACACTTAAGTGCTCAGGTCAAATAAAGCTTTTTCCAATCTATAGATTACCTTCTTTATGACATGCTCATATCTTGTTGTTTGTAAGAGTTTYTGTTGGGAGAGCATTTTAGCTAGAAGATATCATTTCTTTAATGAAGCCGTTAGCTCTTGCTGAGGCTTCATTAAATTGTTAATTTATATTTACTTTCTTCATCAAACCTTCTATGGTACATCAAGATAACATGAYTGTTTCAATATTTTCTATCACTATTGCACGTAGATTTAGCAGGCTTGGTGTTTAAGAGTTTGCAGTTGAACTGAATGATCTTGACAGTCTTTTCCAACCACAGTGATTTTATGATTCTGTTGAACAAGTGAGTCTAGTCTGACTCTCTTTTTGCAGATCCTATTTGGTKTGGGAGTAGGCTTCCAAATGAGAGCCCCTTTTTTTTTTTGTGGCTGTCAAAAGATCTTGAACTTGTTAAGTGCTAGAAAGATTCATTTGCCTAAAGTTCAGCACTTAAGTGATTAAATTCAAGATTCACAGCCCCAGAGTACAGTCAGTTTGAATGTGTAAACTCCTAGWTTCGGTGAATGGATATAATTAGTTCACTTCTATGAAGTATTTAATTTTTTTTATGCTGAACTGGAAGCRCTCAAGACCTTGCAAACACAAAGCACAAAGATGTATGAAATCTGGTAGCTTTTTCGGAGGCAGCACCACAGACTGTTTCTGTCCGATAGTCTGCTAAGGTTAGGAATCCTTATTTTTCAGTAGAGTTGGTCATGTTGTTTCTAAATATGCTTAAGCCAGGAGAAGTGGTAATGGTCTGCATTTTTGTGTGACAGATTTGTGATCTGAGCATTTGTTTAAGCCAYGAAAAGTTAAAAATCATGTCTTTGGCCTCCCATGAATGTGATCTAATAACACTGGCGCCTGAGTACTTCCCTATGGTTATATTTTGAACTTTGGAATTTGAGCCAGATTTTACAGGAAGGTTTTACAGGAGCTTTTAAAAGTTGCTGTGTATAAAATTGGTTTGAAAATGAGTGGCCAGGTAAAGCAGAGAGACAGATTGGACTGAGGGACACTTAAATGTTGTGATCTCAATTGTATCTTTAGATACACAAGACACCGTGTAGGAAAGTAGATCTTGTAACTTCTGCTGTTTGCAGAATTCTTACTAACAATGTGTTTTAAAGATTAATTATCAGCTAATACTAGTTACTTTTCCACTCTTAAATCTTTCTGCCTGTTATCCCCTTTCTTCTGTTCATTTCTGTTACTTACGTAAATTTCTATAGAAATTAGAACAGAAGAGCAGTTTGCTGTCATTTCACATGGCCTAATTAGAAAGGTGTCCCAGCTTGGAGAGATGGGGGGGAGAGGAATCCCCCACCCCCCAAGTATGAATAATTTCAGTCATCTTGTTTACAGTACAGACACACAAACACTGTAAGGGAGAAATTTGACAACTCCTTAACGCACTAGTGAAAAGGAGAAGATTCATTGCCAGGGGTGAGAATGTCTTAAGTGGCTTTGTTTTATGTAAGTAACCTGTATTTCTGCATCAGACCTCCGTGATGCTTCTATGTTTCCATGTGATCTATTTGATTAATCTTAAATAGATTGGAATAAATCAAAAATATTAAGACTTGATAATTGGTGTTTTCATACCTGCCAAGRTCCTGACTATGGCATTGCAGTATAAATAGCTGTTAATATAGTGGACAGTGGTAACAATTTTACTGTATACTTAAACTCATAATTATTCAAAACTTTAACAAAATACTTTGTAGGAGATGTAAATATACAGAAGASTGTATATTCATGATGTATTAAATAATCCCAACTCATATTTTACAAACTGTGGTAAACTCACTTCAGTTTATGTAAGTAGTTTATGTAATTCATCAGCATACTAACAGCATAAGCATTTACATTTAGATTTGTTCTTGATAGGCAGACATCTGCATGAGTAGGGGAGGTTGTTATTGCACTACAAAGGTTTGAACACGGAAAGGAAATATGTTTGCTGGAATGGCATCTCATTACTTATATTCATTTTACTGCTAGTTATACTGCTAACTGCCATTCACAGGGCTGAAGGTGCAAAAAAAATCAGGTCTGGAAGAGTACTCCAAGCTTAATGAAAAGAATTGTTTTCAACTTAATGCATTGAGCGCCATAAAATATGATTGTCATTTAAATATGCAACATAASAAAGCTATTAATTTACACTGATCATAGCAGTTTTGCAGCATGCAAGCTTCATTTCCAGTGCTACAGCTGTTCAGAGGGAGAGAGGCAACCAGCAAAGCTAGGAATAAGAAGTACTGCCTGTGGGCAAAATACAGGATCTTAGCATTGTGTGCTGCAGTGCTTCTGAAGCTCTTTGGGATTGTGACAAGTCCCAAGGAGCTGTTAAAGCTGCAGATGTGCCCCCTGAGAGGGAGGCTGCTGGGCACGCAGAGGGAAGGACCTGCTTGTGCCTTGTCTGCGCTTCCCAGTGTGATCCTCCTGTCACACGAGATGGAGAAGCTGAAATGTATTTGGGGTGTGGAAGGTACAGGGGTTTTTGTTTTGACTCGGAGTGACCATTATTTTAGAAAAGCAAACTACAATATAACTAGTCTTTCAAGTAAGTCTTCCCAGGGGAATTTTGTGTCGATTATATTCTCCAGTGACAGTGTTGGTAAATCTAACCTGTTTTCTATTTTGAAACAAAAATCCGAAATAAAATACATAAAAAGCTGTGGCTCTTCTTACTAAAGGGTTATTCCATTGACTAGCAGATCAGTATAATTTAATGCAACCTGTAAGTTTAACTGAACAGCTCCTGTTAGCCCAAACGATCACACTTTTGCACAGTACCTGCTTAGCCCTACAACTCGTGAATATCTACAGTACTGAGGGTTCTTTTTTGTGCACAGGAATATAGCATAGAGTTCTTGCACCTGGCTTTTGTCATCTTCRTGCATAGTGAATACTGTTTTCTTCAAACATTTATGCTAGGCATAAATAAAAATTGCAGAGTGTGGCATATAAAGCCTACCTTAGAGGTAAAAGCAGAGTCTCTAGTATGGCATAGCTGATACACTAATATGTTGCTAATAGAATCCATGCACTTTTCATTAAATTGCAAATGTTGAGCAGGTTCTTTAAGTCACTTTCATAGTATTATTCCTTTTTAAATCTGGGAATGGCRTCTTGGTGACGTTTATGTTTTTAAATTTCTTGACACGGCTTTTGCTATGTAAAAATTGTTTTAAGTATTTAACGTTGATTTTCTTTATTTTTAAGGTGTGACTGTACAGAAAAATTACAGAGTAAATTTGACTTCTTGCGGTCACAATTGAATGACATTTCATCCTTTAAGAATATTTACAGATATGCCTTTGATTTTGCAAGGGTAAGACTCCTGGAGTATTAAAGTGTGCATGTGCTATTTGTGTGTGAGGGGAGATGATTTTTTTTAATTGTTCAGTGAGGTTGCACTGAAGTGTTGCTTATGCTTTCTTTATGTTTAATCTTAGGATAAAGACCAACGAAGTCTGGATATTGATACTGCAAAATCCATGTTAGCTCTTCTACTTGGAAGAACTTGGCCACTGTTTTCAGTATTTTACCAATACCTGGAGGTACACATTTCTTGGACTTTCTGAACAGTGACATACTGGTCTGTTCTSTGAAAACATTACAGAGTTTATGGCRTTTTGCTCATGARTATATMTATATTCCTTCTTTTCCCTTAGTTGGCATCCTTATGAAACAGTTATATTCTTGTGTATGTCACAGAAATCATTCTCAGCCTCTGCCGTCCTTCTGCTCTGATTTCTGTCATGAAGGGCAGCTAAGATATCATCATTATAAGGCTATAAAAGTAAAGCTACAATTAAATAATAGGGCCCCTGTACTTTTTTCAGCTACATCTGTACTGAATTTCAAGTTTGCCTGAGTCTTTATTCAGGTGACTCTTCAGGATTTTCAGTGAAAAGGAAACTGTGCTGGTGTTCCTCATTATTGTTTACATACCTGCATTACTTGAGGCAGCTTATAAATCCTTTTATGTGCCTCACTAACCCTTGCTGCAGCACCACGTGGCTGCAGGGCTTCCCATGGGAGGTAAGTGTGATCTACATGTGTAGCTACAGTATGCAGGTATCTTGAGCCCTGGCTCTCCATAGAACATTTACATCTTTATGGCCAATATGCCAGGCTACAGACTCTTCCCTGACTTCAAGCCAGTGCAATGTAGCAGTGTGATTATGCTATATTGTACCGGGGAAAAGAAGGTGCTGTAACTGATGATTCTGGAATTCAAAGTGTGATGCAATTCAGAGTAAGCTGAAAACTTCTCTGAAGCTCCAAGAACTGGTGACTTTTGTATTCCTYGAATGTTTTAATTTTGTTCTAACTCTCTTGCAAGAAACTGCTTAACAGCTTCTGAGCTAGAAAAGTGTATATATATTGTGTAGTCTTAAAATTGGAATCCAAGGAAATAACAGATACTGTTGTTTTTTTTGTTAGGCACTGACTCTCAATGATACAAGAGAAACTAGATCTTTTCAAATATCTTTTGATTATGTGGTTTGATTATGTGGTTTGATTATTTTTCCTAGCAATCGAAATATAGGGTTATGAACAAGGATCAGTGGTACAATGTGTTAGAATTCAGCAGAACTGTCCATGCGGATCTTAGCAACTATGATGAAGATGGTGCATGTAAGTATTCATAGCATTCTACTTGCTCATCTATTGTGTCAATATTTTAATGGCATGCTAAATTTCCACAGCAGAAACAATACTTTAAAATTATTTCTTCAACAATGCTTAAAAGACCTATCCTGAAAATATCTGCTGCTTGGAGGTCGTTGACTACCTTCAGTAGCATCAGGGGTGTGATATTATACCTCTGCCAACTTATATTCAGTTGAGGCTCAAGAGAAGCTACTTTCTATATGAAACCATAGACTTTTGCTGCAAGCAAGCATTCTGTAATAATATATTAAAAAATGTTAACTTATAAGGTAGCTTAACTTCTGGTACTTGGGAAATGGTTCATGAGTCTGAACTGTATATTTGGTTAATAGTCAATTATATTACAATTGTATTGCWTTAGGTGTCTGATCTTTGTTTTGCATTTTATTACGTGCAGTTTTTTAAAGCTCTTGCAAGAGGTAATTACTTTCTCCGGTTTACAATATAAGTTTATTGTTAAGTTTTCTGTGTGGTTCACTTCACCCGCCAAWTGAGTCAAGAAATCATTTTCATAGTTCCGTGTGAAGTTTTATTCATGTAGTGACCACTACCACCTCTGGTCTGAAATGACTGTAGTCATCCTTTGTATTTGGCCATACACATTGACCTTCATATTAAAGACCCTTCTAAATATAACTTATTTCATACCTTTGCAGGGCCTGTACTTCTGGATGAATTTGTTGAATGGCAAAAAGTTCGTCAAGCGTCATAGCAAGAACAATATGGAAGAAAATGCAAAAGTTTTTTGATGCCCACCTCTACACAAACTAATGAGAAAAACAAAGGATTGCATTTTCATTCTTATGAAAGACTTTACAGTGATTTTTTTCCTTTTCTAAGGAAGTTTTCTTGTTACATGTGATATGGGCATTGAACCACACCTCTTCTGAGACTGAAAGTTGGAGTTTTTGTTTTGAGTCTTATGTTTATAGCATTTATTTCAGAACAATAAAGATTCAGATTTGTGACAAAGGCCTAAAARTGAAAAATGTCCCTTGAATGTGAGTGTGGTGTCTATTTTTAAAACCAAATCTTTAAGATTATCTTTCTCAGAAGTGCCCTTTGCTAGGAATTTTTGAGACCTTAAAATGCTTAACTGGCACTGTTGCTTGCTGATGGTATGACTGTCTTGTGCGAAAAAATGTTAGGAAGAATGACTGATTTTTGAGCCCTGGGTGGGGTCGTGCTAATCTGCACATTGAGTATTGGTCATGGGGTATGCCACATTTTTCAGCTCCTTGTGGAGATAAAGGCCTTAAATTCTTTTTTTCCAGTACCCACCCAGTGGTATAGCATTTGATGGCAGACCCTTTTAAAGCRGAACGGTATAAAGTATATGGCTGCATGGGCAGTATGGCTGAAAACTAAATGCCTGTACTTCAGATGATTAACATAAAGTTTCTGGTACAGTAAGGCAGCTTCAAATTCTTACTACATTTTAGWCTTTGGATTGCTTTGTATAAAAAGTGCAATTTATACTTTAAAAGGGAAAGCTGTAAAAGCTTAGTTTCAAGGCTAGATTTACTTAGGTGTTTTAGACTGGAAGTATTCACAGCATGATTTATTTTTAATTGCCCTGGAAGTATTGCATAATTGAAGGCCAAAAGAGACAAGCCGTACACATTTAACCAGTATATAAGAGGCTATATATTTTAACCCAGTTACTCATGTATTGAGTGAAATAACTGCTGTGGTTCCCCTTTTATGTACCCAATTCTGGTGACAACCTTTAAATGCAGTACAAGTTTGTTCTCTGTCTTCCTACCCAAGAGGCTGAATGCTGCTCTTGAGGGGGGAAGATTTTAATGAGGGGGAAAAAATAGACATTTCTAAGTCTTTATTATACGATTAGATTAATTTGACTGTGATAATGGCATGAAACTCCAGTCATTTATTAAGGCCTTGGTGTGCCAAATATTTCAAGAGCTTGAAAAAAAATAGACAATATAAGCTAGGCATGACTTGAAGATCTTTGCCTCAGGGAAATGACTTCTGTTTTGCACATCCGTTGTTCAGACTAACAAGCATGAGTTTTCCTATACTTAATGAAAACTTTAGTCCCAAGATCAGTAATCACTTCACAGTGAGAGAGAAGGAGAGTTGAGGAAAAAGAAGAGGGAAGCAAGAAATAATAGTTAGAAGTGGGATAGGGTAGTGTCTGTTCATGTTCTTGCTCTGCCAGAGAAATGCTTTGCTACTGTGCAGAGTAACTTGCAGTTCAGGGCGCAGGAAGTAATGCCAGTCAGTGGAGATCCAGGGGCAGTTTTGCAAGTCGCTGGGTAGTGCAGTTGAACATTGGAAGTTTGGTTTTGCCTTAGTGCTAAAGAAGTTTTGAAACAGAAATCAGCTGAGAAACTTTGAGATAGCTGTGCTTGTACAATGGCTAGTGTCTATGTGCATGCGAATGCAAGCACTAAATCTTTCTCCAACCTTTCTAAGTACTTAATTTTAGACCTCATGTCACCTGCAGCAGTTCTCAAGTATGTTACAAGTTATCAGTTTGCATTGCTGATTCTGATTTCACCCTTAACAAGAGTGCCTTTTGTTTGGAAATTGCCCTACAAACCTACAGAAAATCGGTGCCAGAATGAGAGTAACTTCAGGGCTCTGGTAGAGTAAGGTCATAAAATGCACAGGATAAAGATGCACCAAATAACTTCCATCAAGGAAAGTACTGCTGTATACTGAATCACTGCAAGGGCACTGGTTCTGAAATGATTTCATAAAATTCACTGCAATGGCTATCCCTGCTTATGTACGTTTAGTCCCTGTTATGCTGGAAAATTCTCTTTCCAGAAGTTTTGAAGTACAGGTTAGAAGTTGAACGTTTTATAATATGATTTWTTTTTTTTCTTTTTTTTCTTTTTCTTTGGTAATTGCGAACTGTTGTGAATTCAATTTAAAGCGGTCGGTCTTAGAGGATGGTATTAGTGTCTAACAGTAGGAGTGATGCATCCACCAACCCTGGGTGGTCAAGTACTTGCTGTTAAGGTGTAGGACACTATGTGATGTATCATCTGTATCTCTGTTAAGGTTTTATCAGTATTCCTATAATAAATCCATGTTTCAGGGATTTATGACTTGGTTGTGTGTGTGTGACTGAAAATCATCAGTTACTGTAAAACTTTAGGAATGAATGTATTTAAACTACTTAAAATCAGTATAGTTTTTCAAAATCGAATGAAAAGGATTTTAAGTTATGTTTTTGTGCTCAAAACTGCAATCAGATTTATTGTTTGAATGTRAACTAATGGCTTGTACAGTTTCATTGTGAGCTGGTCACTTCTATTAGCTGTCTGTTACTAAACCACCTTACAGCTTACTGTGGATAAGTGCCAAAACCTATTTTTTTTTTTTGATTTTGTGCGTGTCCACAAGTAAAAATCAAGTTCAGCTGAATGCTTTCTCTAGCTTTCAAAATTTAATTTTGTTTTGTTTCTCAGGTGCATTTCAGTCCATTGAATTAGAGAGAAAAAAAAAAAAAGTGACACCTTATTTTCAGTATTCTAAAAGGTGGAAAGTTCATTGGTGAAATGTGCTGCCACAGTTATGACAATAAAAGCAGAAGTGAAATGTCTTCCAAAACAAAATTGATAATGGTGTCTATCTTCATATCTTGATGTTATAAACTTCACTTAAATTTCATCTTCATTTCTTGTGATCAGGCCTCTCTATCATAACTGAATTCCTCAGTTTTTTGKTTTGTTTTCTTACCTGAAAATAACCATTCATTCMTGGAAAAAGCCATACTGGTAGGTTGGAATGTAACATTTCTTCTATGTAAAAATGTGATTTTTTTTTTAGTCATGTATGTTTGCCTGTATGTCTCTAGTTATATATATGTGTGTGTATATATATAGTTTTGGTCTAATTTCTCTTTACCATTTAAGGATCTAATTCTTTACTAATGGCTGTAGTTTCACATTTCAATATCATGAAATTTAATTTTTGCATTTGAGATTATTTAATATAGATACAAACCTGGTACCACTCACAGGTGGTCCAAAAGGGGGCACTGTGGTCTGTCTGTATTTGAATTGTAAAGACTTCTTCACATCTGTCAAAAGCTCTGAGCTGATACATTGATACTGGCTACACAGAAATAACAGAAGGGACCATCATTTTAGCTAATGTTTCTGATTATGTGTTTTGTTCATTTCTTTTTAAGCTAGTGAACAGTTCTTTCAGTGCAAAATGTTCAACCTTGTACAAGTCTAGCTTTGTTAAGTATGACWAATAAAAGTGGTATGTAATAGGGCAGAAAACGTATCGTCCCGCTGCCTCTTTTAGTTTGTTTTGTGTACATATAACTGTTCTTAAAATCACTGTGAGACTTAATTGCCACAGAATGGATCAGTCTAATTTCTTATATAACTTTAATAAATAACTTCTTTGCTTTGCTGTGTATCTTAGGAAATAGAACCTGATCTCAACTGGGATCAAACAAGCAAACAGCATTATTAGTTTTGTGTTATTAGATGTTATTAATATCTCATGTTTTTAGATGCTGATAGACCTCACTGGTTGTAGTAACTGACTTGCATGAATTATTCATTGGATCATCCCTGTTCCAGAAATCTGCTGCTCTCCATGTGAATGACAGGAGAAGGAGGTTGTTTGTTTTGTTTTGTTTTTTWAACTTGATGTTTTCTAGTCAACTCTTCCATTTATTCTTCTAGAGGCCTCTGCAGAAAGGCTTAAAGGTAGCATTCCCGCCCTGGGTGAGTTAGTGCTGCTGTTACCTTGCAAAAATTGCTTGTTCAGTAAATTGACATGTCCTAGTGGCTGGGGTTTGGTACCCAGCTTCAGGAGACCTGTGTCCATCCAGAGATCATCAAACCATCTCAGTCCCAAAGCAAGGCAGATTTGTCTCCACAGTTTCAGTTTCATCCATGGTGAAGTCCCTGTTGTCCTCCTGATTCAGCAGGATGTTGAGGTGTGTTGAAACCAGGCGTCTCACATCTGTGCGTGTAAGAGATGGCAACAGTTCCATTGCTCTCATTTACCTGTATCTCCTGTATTATCTATTCTGCGTTAAAATGAATTTTTGTCTCTGTTGGAAAGACAGATACTGGAGTTAGGTAAGTGTATTAAGGGATAAGTGTTTACCACTTTGGATAAAGTGATATACAAAATAGTTGCATTCTTGCTGTTCTTACATTAGTGGGAAAGAATGCAACTTTCCCAATACTAAGATCTCCCTATACTTATTTCCCAATCAATTTATCCTCTTGAAGAGTAAGTTGCTATTATAACAATGACAGAAGATCGTAGGAAAAAAAAATTATTCCTTTACAGGTTTTTGATTTTGGGCATCAGGGCTGAAGCAGTAATATAAAGACCCTTGCTGGGATTGTAAGGAATTGTACAGGATACTGACACTGTAGTTTTGCTATAGTGTGAAATAAAAATTTTTCATCATCTATAGTAGGAAAAATAGAAAATATATTGGAAAATAAAAGACACAAAAATCCTATTGCTCTTTCCATCTTTATCTCCCAAGATTGCAATTACTGGCATAATGAATAGTCCACTGTGGAAAGATGTTTGCATATAAGGGGATTTTCCTAGGAAGACAGTACTGATACTGAAGCACTATTTGTCACGATACTTTGCTCTTTGCTGCTRGTGCTTTTTAAAATTGCTTATAGAACTGTGTTTTTTTTTTTTTTCCTGTCACATTTTAAATCATGCAAGAATATTGCGGTTTCTTCCTGTACAGCTGAATATATGATATACRGAATTTTACTACAGTGTAAAATTGTTAAATGCAATGATTCTATCTTTAAAGATAGAGTGTTGTGGTTTCTGGAGCTTTTGTGTATATTTTTGCAATGGCTATGATATAGCTAAATGGAAAACTACTGGTGCCTTTTGAAATCACAGGAAAGCATCTCAAGTGTCCATAACTGTTTTAAAACAGAGATTAAACTTCAAAGATGGTTTCACTTCTTATTTTATCTTCTCATGCTCATCTTCAATTTTCTAAAGCATCACCTTTGATCAGGAAATTTGTGCATAGTCCTTGTTCAATAACAGTACATTATTTTTTTCTATTGGCTTGAGACTTTGGGGGTGGGGTTAGTGGGTGTTGTATTTGACCGTAAGGCTTCAGTTTTGTTGTAGGAGGTACTTCGCTGTTAATAAAACTGTGATCATAACCTAAAGACTTTGCTGTCTTACACATAAGCAGTGGACTGCAGCTTTGCATGGTGCTTGTCTTTTAACTAGAACATTCCTGCTATCAATATTAAACACTGCCATTAAAATGCATGCTCTCCAGTTGCTCAGTATTCTTCAGAAATCTGAAATTAACCTGTAAAACTGTTTTTTAGTTAATGTCGCCAGCACATGAGAGAAAATCATCTCCTTGTTCCTACTTAATACTTTGTGTTTATATATTTCTTCAATGTTTTTGCCTTCTTTGCGTCTTAAGTTTGGATTTCTGTTACCACAGTTCAGATCCACCTATGGTTCCAGTCAAGTTGTGTGGATGTGTGGGTTACATTTTGCCCCTTTATAGCACTTCAGAAGTAAATAACAGGCTCCCAGGTCTCCAAACGTACTTTAATTCTGTAAGAATGAAAACTAGATTCCTTCTCATATACAAAATATTAACTTTAAAGCCTTCTAAGGTACATCTGGAAATGACTGCTCCACAAATTTTTCTGCTGTCCCTGAAATGTTGGTTGCATAAACTACTACATAATATTAAGTTCATAAGCTGCTTCTTCTGTAAGTGAAAAATGGGGAGTGCTCATATTTAAGTTGAATCAATGGCCAATTTTCTGTACTCTCACATTACATCTAATTGAGCCAAATCAAAATACATTTCTGAACAGAGATACTGTTCACTCTTTTGTCCAGAAGCTTAGCAAACAAACAAGGCCTTTAGGAAAACCCAGATACACATCATAAACATAAATATTCATTTTTATAGGGCTGGGGTTTCAGAGGATTATCGTTTCTGCCAAACAGAGTATAAGCACAGTCCAAATAATCTCCTTCCACCTTCTCTTAAAAAAATGATTTTTACTCTGAYCCAGGGAATCTCCAGTTCTGCAGAAGAAACAGAATTTATAACTGGCCATATCCAATGTAATCTCTCAGATGAGTTTGAGTGTGTGTTGGTGACACTGATAAGAGTTCATTAGCCTATTCTAAAGTGCTATTGGAGGGCTCTGTTTCTAGTGAAAAATGTTGTTGCTAGAAACACTGCAAAAAAACCAAAGCAGCATATACAGGATCAGCGCTGAATCACCAAAATTACTATGTTGAGCTCTTCAAATTTCCTCAGAGATCTGGCCCAGCCCATCTCAATTTAGTGTTCCTTATGAAATAAAAGCTTGCAGAATCCATAATAGAGCATGTAATAAAAATGTTCTTTTTTAAAAAATAAAACAGATTAAAGTAGCAGATTAAAGTAAGTCTTAAAAACAGATGAAAGTAATTGTCACAGTCAGGAGAATGAACTGAGAAGCTAGGCTATCAGGTAGAGAGAACTGATGCTTTTAACAACAAAGTGTGATCAAACACATATGTTAATCATCGTATTGCTTTTCTCCCTATTTCCCCCTATTCTTAGCAGTGACATAGAACACTATGAAGAATGTGTACTCATTTTTTCCATTGTTTGGAGAAAAATGAAGCAGGTTAATTATTTTCATACGATGAGTTACATCTTCATCATTAGTCCACTTCTGATACTTAAAGTAGCCTGTTCTGAGCTAATTTGGGTATCTCAGCACTTTGGTACATTGTGAATATTGCTCAAGTGTGAATTTTACCTGCTGTCCTTATAGGACAAAGTGTTGAATGAGCATTTACTGCATATTGATGATAAGAGTTAATTTCAAAGAGACTCTCTAATTGCACACAGAACCTTTCTCTCTATATAGCGTCTGGAGCATTTCACACATGTCACTTCCCAATAAATACAAAATACAAATTGTCCTCTAAAAAGTATTATGTCTTTTATCTCATGCAGAGTTCTCTTTCTAAAGCAACCTTATTTAAAATTGTCTTTCCTTTTCTGTTTAGAAGGTGAGGTTCCCCATTTTTAAAGCAATGTGGACGATTTGCTACAGCTGGGAAGGTCAGGATTGCAGTGCAGATTGCTTGGGCCTGAGAAATTGCTCCAGCTCTAGGTTAAAGGGAGAC